CACATCCGTGAACATGGGGCTTCCAGTTTTCCTTCATAGCGCTGTACTTGTACCAAACTGTACTTGGCGTAGGCTGGGACTTTGCCTGGATGGATGTGAGTCACAGTTTCGAGGCAGCGGTGCATAAATTGTCTGTGATTCACGTGCAGCACGCCGATGGACGTCGCGGGGCCTCTGGCGCGGTCTCTGCGCTGGGGGTAGTACGCTGACGGGTGCAGGCCGCGCAGCGCTGACGCACGGCGTGTTCCCAGACGCGCGCGCAATTACTTCTCACTGACTTACTATGAACGGCGTCCGAACCGCGCTCGAACCGCGCGTGCCTAACTGGACGGGTGATATAGCCTGCCGACCGGCGTGCACCATGACAGTACAGCACACTTATATGGCATCGCCGTGGCGACAGTACTACTACAAACTGTAACTTGCGAGCCGAGCCAGTCATATCACATACCAATGAGGCATGGCGAACATAACTGGCAACGAAAAATATCGACAAATTGAACAGTATACTCACGAACTCGTTTTGAGTCGCGATGCGGGCAAGCATTGGGCACTGTGCTCGCTGCTCAATTTTACCTCGATTTCACACCCGCCAACTGCAGCCCACACCTTCCCCGTTCTGTTGAGGTTACCGCTGACCTGTGACGCCTCACGGGACTGGGACGCCGTACCCGTGTGACTGTGGCCACTGCCGTGAGATCGAGCACGTGAGTGTGCGGGTGGCAGCGTGCAGCGGCCGCCGGCTAACGGCCTGCACCGACCAGGCCGTCCGGCCGGCGGAACGCCCCGTTTCCGGGCTGACGGACGACCGGCCGGCCTCTGTGGCTCCACCCGGCATTGGAATCGCCGGAACCCAGCCACAGCCCACCCGGAATCCGCCCGGAACCGGCCCGGAACCGGCGCGACCCGCCACAGGTCGGCAAACACACAATCGCGGCGACACCCGACGGAACCACGGTATCGGCTCCGTTCAGCAAACTCGGCCCGCTGTGCAAACTTCCGGGCACGCACCATGGACGAGCGTCCGTGCGCGCTACGGGCGGACAGGGCCAATGGCCGAGGTGACGGGGCACTGAGCACGAGGTGAATGGAGTTTGGAGGCTCAAATCGGAATGGTTGCCCGCGTTTTCGGTCTGTTCCGTTGCCTCGTTATGTGATGCTATTGCTCGGGAAGATGCTCGGAACGCTTCAAATTAACGAAGCGGCGGCGGGGTTCATAGCGTCGTGTGTGGGTTCGGTAAACTCCGTGGGAGGGCTCGACACAACCTTGACCGGTTGCACGCGTGTGGGCGGTGCGTGCTCCGGAATGTCCGGCTCGAACCGTCCCCCTCGACGTCCCGGACGTACCACCGATCGGCGCGGCGAGAAACCGTGACCGCGGAGCGCAGTCACCGTTCGAACGAGCGTCCCCGATCGACGACGGGCGGTCAGCCGAGCGCCGGCATCCATCTGTGGCGCGTGCGCGGCCGGCGGCGGCCACCAACCACCAACCACCGCCGGCCGTCCGTCGTGTCAAGTCGGCAAATTCGGCGCGGTCGCGGAAAGCACCGCTCGCCTGGGAACTGGGCCGCGCCGTTCTCGGCGCGCCCGCGGCGATGGTGGCGCGGTAGCGACGCTCTCGGTGCACCGCCGCCGGCGCTGTCCCAGATTGGAGCGTCTGTGCCGGCGGCGGCGGACGTGGCGCGACGGTGACAAAAAGCGGCGCACCAGGTGCACTACCGGCCTGAGCGGGACGACAGTTGTGGAGCCGGCCGGTTATGATGTGCGCGGTTGGCTGACAGACGGCAGACAGATATACTGCATAGACAGAGCTACTGCCAGCCCGCCGCAGTAGCGACGTTTTGGAGCGTGAAATTGTTAAAGGACTCTCGCTCAGCCAGCATTCCTCGTTTGATCCGGGCTCCATACCTATTTCGAACCTACTCAACTCCCATTAATATAAGATCGGTCATCGGACTGAAAATGGGAAATAACCAATAAGTTACATATTTTCGCCAAACATGTTTGGCACTCGGTCATGCATGCGTATATTTTATCACTAAAAGTTATTATATTGATAGTGAAGTTATTATATAGTGAGGTTACCTATCAATTATTACCCTGCTGTTTGGTCCAAAGAATATCGAGTCCTGTGAAGCAATGTCGATTCAAATGAGATAAAAGCCATCTCTTTCGTCACCCGTATTGAGTTCAATGAGCGGATGACTCTTGAAGGGCATCTCTCGTCTTCGACATTAAAATAAGTGCGGATGATAACTGATGACATTTCCCATACTTAACCGTGCATCCTTGCTCAAATGTCACCCACAACTGCCGCAGATGGCGGCATATTTTGCAGCAGAGTTCACGAACTCGACTGATTGTCTGTGAGCCATATGGCGCATTGACAACTGCTGAGAAGCCCGGCTGCAGCCGAAAAAATGATGCTTCCTACAGCATATCCAGCCGGTGACATCACTGATGTTTGAATAAAAAGCCGTACCACCGATCACATGACGCTGGTGGCAGATCGCTTTCACTTACACAGCGGGAGTCGGCTGTGGCTCGGCTGTTCTCTGATCGTCTCGGTCCCTATCACCTTGTGAAGCTCTTGTGTACTCACGGAACTACATATGAAATCATGTCCTGGCGATGGTCACCTTACCGGCAAACAACTTTGGCTGACGATTTAATCATCAATCCTACCCTGGTCTTACAAGCTCACACTTTACTCTGTGCTAGGCCAACCTTTAGGTGACATTCCAAGACGCAGAATACATATAATACGGCGCTCGCAATACAATCCCGGCACCCACAATACCACCTCAATAGCGTCCGCCGGCGTTCAATAGGGTCTTACGAGCTTACCGCACATACCATCCCAGCCGACGTTAGCGTTAGCCCCTCACCGACAGGCCGGCCTGTCCCAGCGCGTGGGGCGAGTGCGCCCCGCTGCGCCGCCCGTCGGAAGGAAGGCGGATCCGCCCCCTCTGTGGAGACCCGACGGAGCCGTCCCAGACGACGGCGGCCCTCTCAATGCTGGAAATACCTGGGAGGGCGCCGCGGCGCAGCCGGGCACCAGCTGCCCGTCTGGCACTGAAGGGCGCCGGCCGTCAGCCGGGCCGTAAATAGAAAAGGGGCGCCGCCGCACGTCGCACGCCGCATATCCGGCGCCGGGGGACGGACAGGGAGGGGCAGGGAGGGAGGGGCGGCCGCGGCGACAGCGGACGTGCCTCCTGCGCCCGGTCGACCGGTTCAGAGGCCGCCGCAAGGTCAGAGCGCCGAGCTGTGGTATGCTGGCCGACTGACCGGTCGTGGACCGCGGTGAGTGCGGTTTGAAACTCGGCACGTTCTCCAGTGAGCGGTTCACGCAGTGGATCGGTCTGCACTGTGTGCTGGTACACGAAAAGTTGTGTCGGCTGACAATAGGATGAATGATTGGTGTGGATATCGTATAATAACGAAGAACTTAACTAACTACATAACTGAAAAACGTGGCCAAAAAGCGGAGCTGCTGGTGAAGAAGCTACTGAACCCATTAGCGTAGAATCCCTTACCTCACTGAGCCTTTGGGACGAATCGGTAAGAATGTTGGGACGAATAAGCTGGCCCTCCGATGAGTTACTGTATCTTTGGGTAAAATATAACGTTTTTTCATGAGCATCAGCCAGTTGAAACATCACCGTAACGATGCCACGACTAGCGCACCCTTGAGAAAACAGTCGTTGCTATTTTCCGCCGGAAACAGCTGTAAGGTATTGCCTAGCACCTACTATACACAGAAGGTAGCTTATCCTTGTGTAGCTGAGGTCACTCCAGAGGCCCACGTTTACTGCCTTCGGTTCCACTGACTCCGGCTCGAGGCGAGAGGACATTAGTAGGCACTCACGCCCACTGCCAGTCAACCAAACTGAAATGGAGTGCGCCCACTCGGGAAAGCCGGCGCTGCCCGGCCGATAGCATCGCATCTCAGGAAACCGCGCGCGCCTATCTCTTAGCGTGGGAACCCCGTCCGGCGCAGGACACTTTTCTGGCAGCGGAGTACCGATCTTCGGGGTCGAGACGGCGCCACACTGCATGGAGACAGGGCAGTCAGGGATGCTGGCTGTCTGCAAAAATCGCACGCCGATAAATATCTCGACGCTGACATTCTGTCTGTGAACTGACAGCAGATGAAGCGAACTGATATTTGAACGGGGTGTTGCGTGTTCATGGGTTTGATATAAGGTGACGTGCAATAGTCACGCTGGTATGCTTTGTGACACGACAAGCCGACTCGGTCTTTACGCTTGCCTGACGTGCCGTTGCGTTCACAACCAGATTAGCGCCGGGTGGTCAGGTGGTATAAACCGTCACCGACATTTCCTGCTGGGTTCGGCACCGGCAGGAAACATTTGGGGTCCGGCCGGCTCCGGTTCCGTCTGTGACCCGGCCAGACCTCACACTCAGCTCCGGCCTCAAATCTCAGCTCCGGCCTCTTATATCCCAGCGCCGGCCTGCTCAAAACAAACTGCTCTCCAGCTGCTCAAATCCAGCTCAAATCAAATCTTTGCGTCCCAACCAACTCCAGCGGCACATTGCTATTCGAGAAACGGCTCGACATCGATCAAAAATAGCCGCCGTCCCCGGCGAGTTCATTCCCCACTGCTGGTCCCACTCCCCGCCTCCGCGCGGGGCCTGGTCCCTGTCACCAGGTCGGAATGGAATGTGTCGTACCGTTCCACCCCAGCGCCGCCACAGGATATCCGTCCGGGGTCACCGGAAATCCGCCTGAGGTCACACGTAGCCAACCGGCAATGTTTGCTCTTCGGTGACCTCTTGCGAGCTTCTCTGACCTGCGCCGACCGCCAGCTGTCTGAGTGCGCTTCTGTGTCCCACCGCAATGGAGCCAAGGGCAGAGCACGCCGCCCCAATAACGACCTGTCATACTCTGAAACTGTGCATCGCTGAGACTGAAGTGATCTGTCGATGAGGTAGTTTTATTATGATGCCGAACTGACACGCCTTTCTCTCCCCGGCAGGTGGATAACATGTCGTACGTCCACCCCAAGGACTGGTCAGACGACCGGCTGACGCTGTACCCCCAGCTGACGTCCACGCCGCTGAGTCGCGGCGGACCGCAGACGCCGAGTGCGCCGTACCGGGGCCAGGCGCCGACCGTCACCGGGCGCACCCAGCTGCCGCTGCCGTCGGACGCGGTGCCGACGCGCGGCGGCCCCCTCCGCGGCTCCACACTGCACGTGCAGGGCTACAGCAGCCAGCGGCCGCCGCCCGAGATCGTCTACCAGCCGGGACGGCCGCGCGAGCGCAGCCTCGACCACGGGAACGTGTTCCGCGGCGGCCGGGGCCCTGCCGGCCTGCACCGGACCGGCGCCTCGACACCGTCCCATCCGGCCTACCCGGCGCCGTCCGCCGGCGTCGGCGTCAGCGTCGGCGCCGGCGATATGAGCTGCGAGTCGAGCTACATCTCCAACGACAGCTTCGAGTCGCGGCCGCCGACCAACCCGCTCATCAGCAAGCGCGGCATCCCGTCCATCTCCAGCGGTATCCCCACCATGGGCACCTCCACCATACACGGCCGGTACCTGCCGGGGGGCGCCGCAGGAGGGGCACTGGGAACAGCCTCCGGCGCCGGCGGCGGCCGCTACCTCCCACCAGCCGCGCTCGGCTCGCACTACATCCCCGGCGTCACCGGCACAGAGAAACTGAGCGGCCACGCCGGATGCGGCAAGGAGGTGGCCTTTCGGCTAAAGCAGAGCCGGCTGGCCGGCATGTGGAGGAAGATGGCCGACAGCGGCTCGGGCGCCGGAGCCGGCGGACGGAGGCGCTCCTGTCTGCTGCTCTGCCTGCTGCTCTTCTGTATCGGCCTGCTGATTGGCGCTGTCAGCGTAGTAGTCTACCTCACAGGTCAGTCATGGGGGAAAGGGTGGTCAGCCACGGGGATGAGTTCACTGGGGGCTTATGCGAAGTGTGTCACCCACAGGGAGTGGCACACTGGTGTCACGTGACACTAGTTAGTGCGTACCGTCAAGTTTGTCACGTGATGCAACAGCGCACCGTGACGGCCCGGACAGAGACCCCGGAAACGACCAACCCTGGTGTCATCCACCGGTGTCAGTCGGCTGCCAACACGACACCACAGGGCGGGTGACACCAAACACGACACTTCCCGGGGGCGAAAGAAACGGGTGGCGACAGCCTCCGAGCGGAAGGGCGCGATGTCGGGCACGTGTCTCGGACGGAAGGGTATAATGTCGGGCACTGGTTTAGCTGAGGGGTGTCTTGTTGAACGGAAGGGTTTCTTGTAGAGCGGAAGAGTATTTTGTTGAACGGAAGGGTGTCTTGTAGAGCGTAAGTGTATCTTGTAAAGCCCCCATCGGGGTGCCATTCATAAGAGCTGCGATTGCCTGGAAATTTGGCCGAGACGTCGTGCGTTGGTCCGTGCCGCGAGCACAGGCTGACCAGGCAAGCCGTTGGCCGTGACGTGAATATGGGGAATGTGGTCAGGAACTGACGCGCGGATTGTCACAATCGGGTGACGATCAATGTCGGCGGCGCGGGACTTCAGAGGCGGGGCGAGCCGGCGGCGGACTCAGGAGCGCGGCAGCCGACGTGTGTGCACGGACGACGGAAGTCCGTGTTGTAAAGATCGCGTCATGAGACCGCAGTCACACCTTCATGAGTCTTTTGTCACACGGGCATTCCGCGATCAGTAACTCGCCGTATATTGCAGTGAAGTAAATACATAGCTGTAAGAACATACCAAAATACTACCCATGAGCTTTCATAGATAATGGGCATAAAATGCACACTGCGTAGCATTGTTACTCTGTTCGCTTGTCCTTCTTTATAAAACCCCTCAGTTCTGCATGCAAAGTGAGGAAAAGAAAAATGCAGCTACTTATATTTTTATTTCGAATATGCCGGTATCACCATAAAATACCAATGGGACGATACGCTTCAATACCGATCCAGACATGTAAAGCTAAGTTAGGTGCCAATTGTACCTAATCCTTTGCCGTATACCTACCTTTCCTCAGCAAATGGTTCATTTGCAAAATATGTTTACATAACTAGTTTGGAATAAAGCTTTTGACCCTAAATTGGCCTATTTAAAGTTTTGTTATTACAGTTCAAGGCATCAATTGAGGAAACTGTTTTAATGATTCAAATATACCAATAGCATCGTTATTAATTTCCATTTCACCCTCGCATTGTATTGCATTTCGAAGAAATGGGTAATTTCCCGTCACAAACTACTGGTGTTGATGCTGTGTTATACGAACTCGATGCATCTCTTTCCGAACTCTTTCCTGCCAATTATGCCTAACTGATAACGAATCCCTGTATGCTGAACCGTTGACATGGGAAACTATCGCGTCCTTCCATATGCCGTTAGTTGAAAGGCCGCGGAGCGCTGGCACTGCACTATCACCGAATCTGATCGCTAGATAGGCGTGTGAATGCATGAAATCGCCATAGAGTGCCAACGTGGCTCGTTATTGCTTCTAGACATTGGCCAAGGCTAACTGGTTTTGCTTGTGCCGAGACTGGGCATCAGCCTCCGTGGTTTCGCGACCGCTCGTCGATTTTCAGCTCCCTTATGATTCATCCAGTTTCCATCTGGTCCTCATCGAACCCCGACCGATTCCCATGGATCCTTGGTCCCTGTGCTCCCCGGACCCGGGCCCGTGGTCCCACCGGTCCCCGCGCACACCCGGTGAACCGCCGCTTCTCTGTGCCACCGGGAGCAGCAGCTGCTGCTGCCCCGCCTATCCTCGGACCGGCGCTGAATGGCCGGTCCGTAAACACAGCCGCCGCTTTATCGCTCGCTAACGACGCGATAATGGAGGGCCGGTGTCGCCGGGCGCGCCGCCGCATTCCGCCGAAATCGGACCGGTGCGATTAGTGCCCCGTGCTGGGACACATTCACACGCGCCCCTTTCTGGTGTGCCTACTCTGGTACCGCCGGCGCCGCACCAAAAGCAGCGACACTCGACAGGGACGGCGGCGAACTCTCGCAGGCAGACTAAATTAGTTAGACGACAGCAGATAGAGAATCGTGATTCGTGATCAAGTCAGAATGATAGCCCTTTCAGTGGATCAGCCCTTCCGTGGGCGTGAAGGTCATTTGCCTGTCGTGCTCTGGATAATGCAATGCCACCGCCGGAAATTAAGTTTGCTCGAGATGCTCCATCTAAAAAACCTGTCGTGTGGCGCAATCGGCGCGTCACCACGAGGGAATATCTTTCGGTCGTCCTCTGTTCACCGCTGCACAGCGAACGCGTGCAGGTCTGTCTGACAGTGCGCGACAAGACCACCGCGGCGATGGAGCTCGCTGCGGCACCGGCTCTCACAGGCACAAGACAAAGCAGTGACCGGCGCCACCAGCCGTCTCCGGGCCGGACACGCACAAAAACCGCGGCCGGTTCTGCATGGGCGCGCTCTGCGGCCGCCAGATTACAGTTGTCTCCCCCGCTCGGACGGTGGGCTCCCCTCTCTCGGCGGTCGGCAGTCCGCTCCCAGGCAGCGCCGGCCGGGAGACAGAGCTCCGCAACGGCCCGACGAGCCTAAGTGAATCAGCGATGACGGTCCCAGCCGGTATGAGTCCATATACTATAATAACACGGCGCAATCTTCATTCTTCGTACCATTCTAATATGAGCTCGATACAAGTACGTTATTTGACGGATACAAACCGGTGCGAATGCGGTACGGGCCGGCACGAGCTCGCCTCGCCGTGAGCCCTTCCCAGTTTCCTTCCGTCCTCAGACCAGTTTGCCTGGTTGAGGCATTTCGCTTATCGTAAATCTGAGCAGTAATGCCATGCCATTCATTTATTGTCTGGGGTGGGCACTGGGTGCTGCGGCGGACCATGCTATGCTAATAGTGATTGGCGATAACCATTTTATGTAATATCCTCGTCATTAACCCTATTAGTGACAGGGGGTTGTTTTTATCCACCCCTCAGGTTTTTCGGGAATATCTCCGAAACCGCTGAAGCTACGATGCTGAAATTTTCTGACTTTTCCTAAAACTAAATTGGGCACATTCCCTGAAAATTTCAAGTTCATAACTTTACCAGGGGCGGCTCCAGAGCACTGGGAATTGGGGGGTCCTATTCGTGAAGCGAGTCATTTGGGCGAAGATCACGATGCTGCACCAGTTTTACGAACAGTGAATGAAAGGTATCATGTGATAACATATACAAAGTTATTGTGCATCCTCTTTTGACACGTTTTTGCTATAATAGGCGGATCCAGGCGTCCAAAAAGGGGGGTATTTTTTACCTCCCAACATAGGTGCCCTGACACCGCCTATGCATGACCAATACAATTTTAGTCGTTCTCTCATAAGAAAATTGTAACATAAAAGACCATTGCTACCCTTTTTAGAAACAGTACCAACAAAAACCTTATTTACTATACTTTTTGTGTACCCCCAATCTCAATGATCTGTATCCGCTTATGATTTTTGAAAATGCATATTTTTAGGATCCATGTGAATTCCTGGTTCATTCTCTATCGATCGGCAAAAGTTGCGTTAAGATTGGTTCAGAAACCTGGCCGTGATAAACAGTCTAAAATGTATCTGCAATTTGCCCGTTTTTACCCCCCTCTACCCCCCTATTGACATTTTTAATTTTATTTTTTTAGAAATGTAGATCTCGTTGAGCCAAATCGAATGCCGTTTGAATTTTGAAAATCGGCCGGTGAGATCTCGAGATATTAAGGGGGGGTCGTAAACAGCCCCCCCTGCCACTAATATGGGGTAGCCAGGAGCCTGCCACTAATAGGGTTAAAGAAAGGTGAAAGATTAGCGGATAATGAACTCATTAGGGCATACAATTTATTGTGGAATTCAATTGATAAAGGTTCGACTGCCATTTTTTGGCAATTAAGATACTCAAGCGATACTCGTATGCATTGATGCGTGACTGACCTGCATTAGCTGCTTCCAAATGCTGCTGAGGTCCCGTCTTGCAAACTTACATGGAGCGAATGTATAAAACAGTTCATTCTATGTCTTTTCTATCTGTAAGAATCTTGTTTTTTCATGGCTATGTCAAGTGCCAATTGCTGCGGAATCACGACCGTAGCTCATGTTAAGGTATCTAATATTATCGTGCGTTACCTGTTACTACTCGAAACCCGTTTACATAATTCACGGTACCGAAATCTCGCCCCGTAAATCATGAAGTGTGCGCGGCTGTGCCATTGTTTGCCAGCTATCTTGCTGGTATCAGCTTTGCTATCTCGAGCAGCCATCCGCTTTCCGGGCGCCAATCTCCGGCACTCAGACTCGGTTCAAATTGTGCTTAATTTGAGCACACTGCGTTACCAATGTCACGCACAGTCGTCATGACTTTATGGCTGCCAATTTTCAGAAGTAAAACTCATCTCCTGTTCATGAAACTAGTTACCGACTACGTTATATGCAAAGTTCGCCGGCTATTTGGCGACCTAGCCAATCAAACAGCGTTAGTAAGGGGATCGAGCTCCAAAGTCGTGATCTGGCGTGCGCTGTTGCATTGCATGTCGCGTTATGTCGTGCCCGCCCTGTCTGTCTATGCTCGTCCCTGAACCGCCCCCGCTCCCCTGACCCTCCCCTCATTCCGTGCGAATGAGCTGTAGCCGGTCACACCCCGCCACCCAGCTCACGAACCGTGTCCGCTCTGTGTTTCAGTGGCGCCGGACGTCCGGAGAAGCGACGCCACCGCAACGGATGCGGCGACAGGTATGTTCTGACCGCCCCGCCCTCTCCCTGCCTGGAACCGCAGGTGCGCACCGGCCCGCTAATTTACCCTGTCCTGTTTGCCTGTCCGCCGGGAGAGAGCGCCGCTTTCGCCGTCACACGGTGTTCCGTGACGTGATTCACCGTGATGTGACGCGACCTGACGCAGTCCGGTGGGCCGTGATGACTCTCCGGTCCGGTGTCGATGCGCGTCGTATTGTCTCTCGGCGACCGGCCGACTCTGCCAGCCCGTCCTGTTCACCCCGTCCTCGGCGATTGTTTCCGATCGAGCGCCGCCGGGAGTGGACACGGACACGATTCATGGTGATTGTCCCCGTTAGCCAGCCGGCACACATCCGTAGAGTGGCGACTCGGCTTTTGTTCTGAACGAGTGGCCTGATGGCAGTGCGTGGCCCTGTCCGTCGCCGGATGCCGTCCCTGACCAGTGATTTACGAGCTGCCGAATTAAGATCGGAAACCGGAGACTTTCCCGGCTGCGTGCGCTTTGTCGGCACTGCGCTGCGACGTCCGGCCTGCGCTGGTAAAAATACCCTCGATAGCCCGTATGGTCACTCGTCAAATTCATGGTCACCATCGGTTCGACGGCGTCCTTGGCCGCTGGACTGTGACCGATAAAGGTGCCGCTGCGGCTCCAGGGAGGCTGCGTCCGTGGTGCGAGCAGTGAGACCTTGATCGGACTTCAAATGACACGTTTGAAGCCGTCATAAAACATTCCATGATTCTACATGCCCGCCACTTTTTGTGGTAGAGTAATCTTTGTCTGTCAATCGAGCTGTAACTCGTCAGAATCTGTCTGGCGTGAACTTCGTTTATAATTTAGTGCCGATCGGAAAGGACACTGGTCAGTACTTTTTAGTGACTCAGATCACTTCTTGTCTGGCTAACGAAAGCTATTGACTATGCCATGGGAAAACGCCCGGAAAGATAAATATCTAATATGAAAGTGGTTGAACGGATACCTAAATAGTAAACTGTTTCAAAATGCTTGGTCTGGACCTTTATATTTTAAAAAATTAAAATATAAAGGAAGATCAATTTTCTTAACTGAATATAACGATGTTTAAAAGTTAAACTATCGCACACATCAATCACAAAGTTTCTTCATATTAATATGCATTCTTAACGCACCGGTGCCCATGATTCAGCTTTAACCCTATTCCTGGCGGGCTCCGCCGGGACAAGAAACTGGCGGGGGGGGGGGGGGCCGATTCGGCCCCCCCTGAGATCTCGAGAACGAAGCAAGATAGCGACAAGCGGTAAACGGCATCGGATACGCACGGCCAAGATCTACAATTTTTACTAAGGTCATTTTCAGGTCAGGTCAAAGATGACGTCACAGGGGTCGAAAAAGTCAAAATGGCGGCACTAGATATGGAGAGAGTTTTTCTCGAATAACTTTCGAATTAGTCAAGATAGGAACAAACTAAGGGCATCATCGTGATCCTCTCGTCAATCCGCATCGAATGATATATATGTTGACCTCGAAAGGTCAAGGTCAAAGGTTGACCTCAGGTCACGTGACCTCGAGGTCATCATGTATATCATTCGATGCGTCTTGACGAGCTGAACACAATGAGACCATCCACGCGTCTGTATCTTGTTCCTGTACGGAGTTATTGGCCAAAAACCTTTGGTGACCTTTGATGACGTCACATGACCTCACAGCTGCCCAACAGCAAAACAGACCTCAAGGTAGTGAAGGTTGATCGTATATGAAGTCATGTATGGTATATGGGGCCATTCCGACCCGTTTTAGTGGTAAAAACAGGGAGTTGATTTTTCCCCCATTGACTTATAATGGGGAGGTCGCGAAATTGACCTGACCTTAGGTCACCGATATCAAAATTCCGAGATATACAAATTGCACATATTGGTACCCTAACTAAACCCTGAAGAGAAGAAATTGATCGGTCAAAAACTCTAGCTCTGGCGTGATTGCAAACTTTTCTGAGGTAGCGTCACCAAACCGCCTCTGGTGACCTGACCTGAGGTCAGATCAACTCAAAATTTTCAGACATGTTGCGTAGAAGCCTTTTAGGAAAAGTCAGAAAATTTGAGCTTCCTAGCTCAACGCGTTTGGGAGATATAACCAAAAAACCTCAGGGGGGGGGGCTCCTGAGGCCCCCCCCCCGCCAGGAATAGGGTTAAGGTGCTTGCGTGTTCCTTCAATACTTATACCTACGTCATTTTAGCCTCCCTCTGGATAGATCTCGTTGGCTGTAACTGTAAGGTCAGTCATTCTACGAATGCCTGATTTGGGCGAGGTCTGCCTTCCCTCCTCTCCAGCCGTTCCCAGGCGACAGACCAAGACAGACCTCTCCAGGCGACAGACCAAGACCGTTCGTGGCCGCTCTCTGAGCCGCTCGGGACCCATCGGCTTTTCGGCCTGTCTGAGCTCGATCGAGGCCGGTCGGGCTGTCGATGCTCGGGGTCGGTCGAGCTGTAATGGGCTGTTAGGGCCGCTCGGGCTATCCAGGGCCGGTCGGGGCCGCTCGGGAGGTGTCTGCGCGCGGCTCGTGACCGTCCGTGGTCCGTGACTGTCTCGTGACGCTCGGCCGACCAGCCGTGACCGGTCGGCGCGGCGACTCACGAGCAGCGCTAATACAGCACACATCCTGTGTTGGCCGGAGCCGCCTGCTCGCTCCACTGGTCTGAGAGCGGAGATCCCGGACCCAGGCGGGGCACCGGGGTCCCACGGCGCCGCCAGGATTGATCACTCCGGTCACCAGCCACTGGCCACTGGTCACTGGCCACTGGTCACTGGCCACTGGTCACTGGTCACTGGCCACTGGTCACTGGTCACTGGTCACTGGCCACTGGTCAGTGGCTGCTGCCCGCTGGCTGGTCACTGGCCAGCAGTCTTTGGTCAGCGATCACGGCTCAATGGTCTTCGATCAACAATCATTAGCCTCTGAACGCTGATTGTCTCATGGTCGCCGATTGAGACCGGCATCTGTCAGTGGTCGAGTATGTTAGTCACTTTGTCCGGCCGTGTCTAACCCGGACCTACATAGAGATGACCTTACAGGGATCTGATCCGCAGTCCTCCGCCCGGTGCATGACTACATATTTATCACATCCTACCAGCTCGCCGTGACTGTATGAGGGCCGGCGGAAGCTTCATAAACCTAGCCAGTTTGTGATAACATGGAGACATGGCACCAAAGGGAGGCCCTCTCAAGCAGCTGGGATCAGATCAAGGATATTGTGGGATTCCATTCAAACTGTTACATCAGAACCTAGTAACAGAACACTGCATATTCTGTCCAGGGCAGTAGGTATGTCCTAATCCATACATCGATCTGCATATGTGCTGTGCCAGAGGCGATCCTGAGGGTCTTCTCGGGCGGACGGGTGGGTATACGGTAGCCTGACAGGTGACGAACCGCCTGGCGCCTCGCCTCCCCCTCCAGCGCCGGATCAAATGACCGGAAACGGGATCACTGATCCCCACCATGGTGACCGACAGTGGTAGGGGTGGGTAAGGAAGGGGTGGGCTGGCCAGGAGGGGAGAAAGGGAGGGAGGGAGGGAGGGAGGGACAGTCCGTGGGTGGGGGTGGGATTCAGCTGTCCGTCTCCCCCGCAGCGGCTGTCAGTGGGACGAGGACGGGCCAGCTGCCGCAGCCGCTGCTGGTGTTTGTATGTCTGTCGTCTGATGGGTTTCGCGAGCCGTGGTCCGCCGGCTGACCACCCCGTCCCCAGCCGGGGGAGGGGGGGGGGGCAGGTGTAATCCGGGAGGGGAGGGGGAACAGACGATCGGTGCAGCTCGGCTGGCCAGCGCCACGCTCCGACGCCTGGCTTCCCGCGCCGGTGCAGTGGTGCCGAAACCCAGAGTCATCACAGGCCGACACGTTACCATAGAAACGCACCGACAAAGCGCCGCGGCGGTGGCCCCGGCGGAATCTCCCGGGCCGAGCCGACCGCAGCTCCCCGCTCCAGCGGCGCCGCCGGACGCGCCGCCCCCGCCCCCTCCCCCGCCCCCGCCGCCGCTCATGGTCCGCAGAAGGTGAACTGAGGTGTGACTGGGAGCTGGCCACGGAACACTTAGTCTGTTCAATGAGCGCTGGCGACTTGGGAAGCTGTTTTCCGGTGCTCACAATTCCTTGCCTGACTGCTGAGCGTCGGACGATTTGTTTGTAATTTCCGTCCCTAGATGGCAGTAGTGGTCGACGCCTGAAGCTATGCTGTGCCGCACAGCTTCAAGGGCCGCGGCAGCCGTCAGACGGAAAGCTGTGCTGGGGCCGCGCCGGTGGCGCTGTACTTCAGACGATAATATTGTGACTTTTAACAAACACGACAAGAAATGCTTACTTTGCATACTAGTCAATATTTATAGGATGTATCAATTTTATATGCATGCCGTCTTACTTTTATGATACTAATAACAATGCTAGTTTTTCCCTTCTTTTGAGTGTCGCTGAGCACCGCTGACCCTTTTTGTAACTCGACAGTCTCAAGACTGATTGATGACTCATGCGTTTCTCGTTCTGTTCGGCAGATGACGATCCAGGCGACATGATGGCGTTCCAAGGCCAGTTCACGATCACAAATAAGGTGTTTCAAGAGGGCTACCGAGACCCAGGATCGGACGAGTACCGTCGACTCGCAACGGAAATCGAGACGCAGGTATGTGTGGCACTTAAAATGGTGACTACTTAGCATCACATGTACCGTAAATTTGCTGGCTTGCCAAAATAACCTAATCGCCTCCGGGCGATTACAGCGTCCTTGCGACTACCCCGGGTGGCACCGCACCCGCGTCTCACCCTACCGTGTATTTCCCAGCTCAACAAGCTGTTCCGAAAGTCTAACCTGTCGAGCGTCTACAACGAGTCGCTGGTGCTGGGTCTGGAGCCGGCCTACCTGGATGGTCAGCGAAACATGACGGCGGTGACGGTCCTGGTGCGACTGAACGAGCCGCGGCCGGACGGAGCCATCGGCATCGGCACCAGCTTCATCGAGGGCATGCGGAACGCCCACCGACGGATGTGGCTCGGCCGCCGCATCACCGTCAAACTGGACGATATCTCGTTCTCAGGTGAGGACCGTCAGTGGCGAGTGCTAGGGTGAGAGGAGGGGGGGGGGGGGCTGAGTCTGGTGAAGGGGGGGAGGAGTGTTGGAAGGCGTTGTGGGCATTTTTTTTCTTGCAACTAGTCGCTCATAACGATGAAGTCTGCAAAACAACGACTTTATGTTGAAGCGACAGTCGCTTTGAGGTTTGGTTACCTTTTGTCAATATTTATGTGAAAATTTATCCACCGAGTCTCGACTCTCTAGTGTTAAGTCGTTAACGAGCTCGACAATGGAAATGCATTGGATATTCTGTTTGCGTGCTGGCTTTAACCCTCGCACGACCAGGCCATTTCTCATAACACGAACGACCAGGGGGGGGGGGGGGTTGTTACGACCCCCCCCCCTGGCGTTTCGAAACGGAAGGTCGTAGAGCTTAGCGGAAAAAACCAACGGATTGCTCTCAACGAGATCTCGCGATTGGTGGTATATTTTTTGGTCCTAGGTCAACATTTGACCTACTTTTGACCGGTCAAAGGTCAAATTTTCGGAAAAATAGACTTTTCCAAATTTTTCGCGGCGATTGCGGCAAAACGGTGGGAGATATCGACTTGAAACCTTCACTATCGTGTTCCTTGATCAATTCTCTATCGTTTGGTATGTATTTCGTTTCCCTAGCTCTAAAAATGGCGCGTTGGGAGCGCCGGAAGTCGGCAAGGTCACAGTCGGCGGCAGAAATTCGAAAAATCAAAATTTAAATTTTTGAAATCTGATTGTATTCTTGGATTTGGGATGTCCATTTGCTCCCTATAGGAGCTAATATTGCTGCATATTCCCATTGAGGTGACAAGAATTAGCAAAATAGTGGTTCGGGCGCTTTTCAAAAATAGTACCGGACGCTGTTCCTCTTGTGACGTCATAGCTCCGTGACCTGACCTGACCCGGTCAAGTTTCTTATACCATATGATAGCCAATACTTGCCCCAACATGCATGGGAAGTTTCATCACGATCCATCAACCGATGTCCGTACCACCGGCAGGAAACCTCGGGCGTTGGCACTCAGTTTGTGAAAATCCGGCCGGAGGCTGTTCCCTTTGTGACGTCATAACTCCGTGACCTGACATGACCCGGTCAAATTTTTTTGATCAAAAGATGCGCAAGGTTTGCCCCATAAGGTACCCAAAATTTGGCGGCGCTGCGCGCCGCCGTTTTTCCACTATTTCCGAAAAACCTCAGGGGGGGGGGGTTGATACAACCCCCCCCCCTAGGCGTTCTAGGGTTAAAAGAGCTGACAAAGCTGACACGAATGCTGTTTCAAATTTCAATTGCATTCTTCGGAAACCAGTATTGATCTACCGTCTTCCAAGAAGGACTAGCTATGCCAGTCCCGACAACGTTCGTGGCGTATTATGTCGAACTGTTTTCTTCAGGCTTTGCAATCCATTCACCTCCCTCCGCATTGTTTTCATTCACCGGAAGTGCGCATTGTCGCACTGACGTGACAGATTCGTTGATAGCAGCCTTTTTATCATCCTGACATCAGTTTGCTGTTATCGATTCGAATAATTTCGCTAACGAGGCGTCTGCCTTGACGTCAGAGCAGGTCACGGTAGCGCTATGTTGATTCTGACCGGTACACGTTCTGCCGCCTACCCCCCCTGCTCCCCCCTATACCGACCGCCCCCTCCCCCCTGCTGACGTATAACTGCCGACCAAATGGTGCACGCACCAACACTGCTATCGACCGGTGGCGTTCGTGGAACTCGCCCGAAACGGTGGGCGGCTGTTGGGGTTTGGCACGGGTAGTGACCATTACGGGGATCGAGCTTTGGGTACTTCGTATTATAGCCAGAGACCACTGACCGCTGACTGGTAAACCTATCGATCGCTGATCACTCACCAGTTTGCACTGCAATCATTGACTGCTGACAGTTCTATCTGCTGACAACCAGCGATCGTTCACCAATAAGCATACAATACACCAAGACACCTCTGAGTATTAGCCACTGAATTATTTGACGCTAACCAAAGAAACTGGCCATGCTGGCGATAAACATTTACTTCACCGATCGGTGGCAGCGCTCTGTTGATGGACACCTTTGTAAACACAGATGTCTGGCCGACCCAAGTGGTATAAGACATGATATGCAATGCTGGGATATTTGACATGCCCGGGTGCCAAATACCGTGAACTTCTGCACCATGTTAAATTGATTGGAATGCACAGATGCCGGTAAATATTGATGCCAGCATTACTGGAATGTCCTGCCGATTTGATTCCTGTCAATAAACGTGTATTATTTTTGTAAGTCACATACACCGACGTTTTGGTGTGGAAAATCCCATTTCAACATAGTCCTAAATCCAACACATAACACGGTTGAATAAGCTTACCACCGTCGACCATTTCAAACTCCCTATTTGTGATCAACGCACTCAACCCACCGTTCTACCTATGACTCTGTAACCCCGTGACCGATTCATTTGAACTCTCCCAATGTGAGTCAATGTCAGTCGGCGGGGCGGTGACCCCTATGCCATGAGTCAAGGTCACGCCCCTGCCATCAACAGTAACGAGCCCGGTGGAATGTCGGGCTCCCGTGCGCAGTGGCACGGCAGTGGTATGTCGGGACGGGCGGGGGGGGGAGGGGTAAGGGTCGGGAGGGGTGGACCGTCAATCCGCTGTACTGGCGACGTTAGATCAGGGATGATGGGACGTTATACGAACGATGTACCGAGATCGGAATCTCGAGCTAGGAAGGGGACGGACAAACAATAAGCGACATTCTCGATGAGATCTTTTTGTTTGTGACTCTCTAAGCTAATAAAATGCTGACCGTTACAATGCTATGAATGCTTTTCCACTGCAACACAATTACAGCACATTAATCCTGCGGCTTCCTCATGAGATCTTTCTTAACCCTCGCCCGTAAACGGCGATCTGCCACCTTCGCCCATGCAGGGGGGGGGGGGTTGGTGCGACCCCCCCCTTGGCGTTTGAAAACGGAGCGTCGTAGAGCTTAGCGGAAAAGACCAACGGATTGCTCTCGCCGAGATCTCGCGATTGGTGGTACATTTTTTGGTCCTAGGTCAACATTTGACCTACTTTTGACCGGTCAAAGGTCAAATTTTCGGAAAAATAGACTTTTTTCAACTTTCGGCGGCGATTGCAGCAAAACGGTGGAAGATATCGACTTGAAACCTTCACTATCGTGTTCCTTGATCAATTCTCTATCGTTTGGTATGTATTTCGTTTCCCTAGCTCTAAAAATGGCGCGTTGGGAGCGCCGGAAGTCGGCAAGGTCACAGTCGGCGGCAGAAATTCGAAAAATCAAAATTTAAATTTTTGAAATCTGATTGTATTTTTGGATTTGGGAGGTCCATTTGCTCCCTATAGAAGCTAATATTGCTGCATATTCCCATTGAGGTGACAAGAATTAGCAAAATAGTGGTTCGGGCGCTTTTCAAAAATAGTACCGGACGCTGTTCCTCTTGTGACGTCATAGCTCCGTGACCTGACCTGACCCGGTCAAGTTTCTTATACCATATGATAGCCAATACTTGCCCCAACATGCATGGGAAGTTTCATCACGATCCATCAACCGATCTCCGTACCACCGGCAGGAAACCTCGGGCGTTGGCACTCAGTTTGTGAAAATCCGGCCGGAGGCTGTTCCCTTTGTGACGTCATAACTCCGTGACCTGACATGACCCGGTCAAATTTTTTTTTTATCAAAAGATGCGCAAGGTCTGCCCCATAAGGTACCTAAAATTTGGCGGCGCTGCGCGCCGCCGTTTTTGCACTATTTTCGAAAAGCCTCAGGGGGGGGGGGGTTGCACCAACCCCCCCTCTACATGGGCGAGGGTTAACGTTGCTCTTCATGATCCACGATCGTCATGATCTCCATGACCGTCCACGATCCGTCTTAACTACTTTGACCTCTTATGGATTCATTGATCTTCTGTGGCTTTCGTTGGTATTCCTATGACCTTTGATGACCTCTGGTGACCTCCGGTGACCTCTGATGACCTCCAGTGACCTCTGATGGCCTCCGCTGACCCCCGATGACCTCCACTGACCCGCGGGGCTCTCTGTCGGCAGTGTCTCGCTCGGCGGTGCCGCCGCCCCCTCCGGTGACCTCCACTGACCCGTTCCCTCTGTCGGCAGTGTCTCGCTCGGCGGTGCCGCCGCCCCCTCCGGTGACCTCCACTGACCCGTTCCCTCTGTCGGCAGTGTCTCGCTCGGCGGTGCCGCCGCCCCCTCCGGTGACCCGGCCGTCGCTGCCGCCGTCCATCGACGTGCGCTGGGGCGAGTGGGAGGCTTGGGCGCCCTGCGTGCCCTGTCGACCATCGTACACCCAAACCCGAGAGCGGCGCTGCCTGCTCAACAACGGCTCCGGCGTGCTGCTCGATCCGGGAAACATCGGCCCGTGCCTGACACTGCACCAGGGAGCCGACATCGAGACCAGGCCGTGTGTCTGCTCCGAGGAGGAGTCGGGAGACGGGACGGAGGAGGATGGAGATCAGAAGGAGCAGGAGACGGACCAGGAGACGGGTCAGGAGACGGGACAGGAGACGGGACAGGAGACGCCGCGACCCGACACGCCTCCGCCGCCGCCGTCCAGCAGTCTTCCGAACGAGCCTCGTCCCCGTCCCAGCCGTGAGTAACCTGGGAGGAGGGTGGGAGCCTCTGGAAGAGAAGAAAGGAACGGCACAGTGTAAAAGACTTGCTCAATAGATGTTGCTGTGTAAAGTGACAGTACCGATTGAACCACACCTCGATGTCACATTAGAACTCATGGCGATGCATGGCAGTAAACTCAGCAAGGAATGCTATCATATTCAAGCAGTCTTGGTGCATACTTGGTAGGGCTGTGTTTAGTTTATTTATATTCTGCTCGAACAATCCTTCGAATACTTTCTGCAGCGAAGCGCTCGTTCTGACATTTTCGAACTCGTGTGTTAAGTGTGTATGAAGTATTAAACTTCAACAGCCTCAAGGCCAACGGTCTTGAAGCTTCCTTTCGCATGCCTCTGCATAGTAACACACCTCGATTGTAACGAATTACACTGTACCTAACCGTGCCCTGCTCGCCCTCAGGCACGTGCGACCAGTGCCGAGAGGATGAGGTGTGTGTTCAGCTCAGTGGAGAGGCCATGCCGGACTGCCACGTGCCGGCCGATGCCGACGACCCTCTGGGCTGCGGTGGCCTCTGCAAACTGGAGGTGGAGCAGTGTCGTCAGATCTCCGACAAAGGCTACCAGTGAGTGCAGGGACTGAGAGGGCCAGGGTCCGGAGCATAGTCAGTCTGAACTGGCTATGTAGAACTATGACTAAATATGTCTAACTGACTATGACTATGTGTCTATTGCACTATGTATGAAGACTAGTTAGTGTCGCCACCTCTCCGATTTGAATGTTTATCGTCGAAACTGACGGACGGATGCAGAATGCCTCCCGGCCACGTCTGTTTACAGTGGGAAGCAGATATAAACGACATGATAATAGTGACATTCAGCCTCAACTGATCCTTCTGACCCCCACTGGCTCCAGACCAGTTGACCCCAACTGATCAACCCCAACTGACCCCACTGACCAAAACTGACTACACTTGACCCCAGTTGACTCCCACTGACCCCGAGTGACTCCACTGACGGCACTGACCCCAGTTAACCCCAGCTGATCTGAGTTGACCCCAACTGACCCCCACTGACCCCCACTGACCCCACTGACCCCAACTGACCCCAACTGACCCCAGTTGACCTCGATGCCTCCTCTTGCCAGGTGTCTGGACGAGTCTCTCTGCAAAGAGGACGAGTTCCGGTGTCTGCACGGCGCCTGTCTGAAGCGGCACATGCGCTGTGACGGCCACGCCAACTGCTCCGACTGGGACCTCTCTGACGAGCAGGACTGTGGTGAGTTGGAACTTCGAGTCGACTGCGAGTCTGTTTTAGCCAGTTAGTGAGTCAAGGTAGTGTGTGACGATATAGAGATTTTCTTGAAATCACTTAAAACTCATTACTCGGCTTTGAATTAGAATACGAATGCGTCGCTAAGTTTCTGGACATAAAACCCAGGGCCTACTTGTAGGGTTGTCTGAAAGAGTGAATCAAAGTTCACTGCCAGGGAGTGAGTTGTTTGCTTAGTCATATGATTTAATGCATTCTTACACGCACGATTATTAATTATTCATATTTATTGTAGACTCAACCTATCCTCTGACACCTGGTCTGTACCTGTTTCAGAGTGCGGCGGCCCGGATCACTTCCAGTGCGGCAACCACACCTCCTGTCTGCCGCTGCGACTGCGCTGCGACGGAAAGCCCGACTGCTGGGACGGCTTTGACGAGGTCGACTGTCCCTGTAAGTACCGGATCGGTCGACCGAGAGGGAGCAATGGGCTCAGACAGGGTCTGATGGGGTCAGAGATCAGGTAAAGAGCACCCACATAGACAGGAATACTAACCCATCCACATTCACAGCGATAGTTTGTGAACACGGAGTGCCTGAGGCCGTGTGATGTGGTATGGTGCGGAATGACTGAGCTAAGCCGGCGCTCGGCCTGGGTGAGCCTTCCTCCATGAGCCTTTTGAACGTGCTGAGATCCGGTGGTGGGGCCTTTGCCGTTATCATAAATGTTTCCTTCTATTTTCGGTTGCAGGATGTATGTGTCTGTGTGCTGTATCTGTGTGAGTGCGCGCTTGGTTGTGGCGAGGGTAACGTATGTGTGAATTGCGCGTCGGTTAAGAGGATGCTTATTTATCTTATGTGGGTGAACTGCGGCCTCAGGTCTTTGCTAACGCTTCAGCTAATCTTCCACTGGTATACTCGTACCTGTCCTGAATGTGCATTTCATCTCAACGCGGTTATGTAGATCGCACTAAAAATATTTTCTAGATTATTCTGGTATAGCAATGCTATGTCTGTCGCGAATTAACCTGAAGTCCCTGTGCTGGAATATGTGAGGCTGTGAAGGAACAAAAACACTCCGTTACAAATATCTGTTTATTGACGCTCTTTCCCAACGTGCACATCCATTTTATTTGCTGTGCACTTTCTCAGCCCATGCTGCAGATTCATTTGCCCTCTAAATGTCACACGTACGCCTTTTAAAAGTACAATTTAACTTCTTAGAAATAAGCAAGTCTCCATCTTGCTCGCTCCTACGGCTACCTACCGCTCTGGCTCCAACCCCGGGAGGGTCGCTCCACTAGCGCCACCCAGTCCAGAGGGCGCTGGCTGTCGCGCGGCCCGCGATCGGCCCCTCTCAGCGGCGCGTGTCCCGGTCCCCACAGCGTGTCCGGGCGAGTTCCAGTGCGCCAGCGGCCAGTGTCTGGCGCGCGGCCTGGTCTGTGACCAGTTCCCCGACTGTAGCGACTCGTCCGATGAGTTCGCCGGCTGCCGGCCGCCCTGTGCTCGCGGCCAGTTTGTGTGCCGGTAGGTGGCAGCTGGCCAGCCCGCCCGCGTCTCCGCTCCACCGCCGCATGTCAACAGCACGCACCGCTCCGCTCTGATGGCGTCTCGTGCATGAGTCTTCTTCTTGGCTGTCTAACCACGCTGACCTATGCACGATGCTCTGCAGACTTACTGGTTGCACCGTGCCTCGCAGTTCGCCACACCTGCCTGTGCGCGTACCTGTGTCTGTGTGTGTTTGTGTGTGAGTGTCTCTGTCATTTAACATAAGCACCAATCACGTCCGACTCACGCTGCTCACAGCTCCCGTATCCCGTTGTGTAGTTGTTCTGATCGATGGCTGAGATTGTGTTCGGCGTGATCCCTCGTCTCACAAGCGATATCGCTCATTGACAGCACACCGAACCTGCAGCACCAGCACGCCAGTAGAGAGAATGCGTTCCCGCAGTGTCGTCATTTGCAGCTAGTAACGCCTGTGTCGTACCTAACGTGCACTGCTAGCTATGACCATCACACTTTTGTAATTATTTATGCACCTTCACTCGAATAAACGCCTGGTGTCTTTACTGAATCACGGTACAAGATCTTGTGACATTTTTTGTTGTTGTTGATGCTTCTGCTGTGATTGATCACTGTTTATTGCAATTAAAAGTAAATGGAAATAAAGCGTGTTAGATTATAATGTAAATCATTGCTCACTGGGCTTCTTCACTTAAATAGATATCGGTGGTCTAATCATCATTCGGAACTTTTTTCGAATTGCTGACCTGCTGCACAAAACATCAGAAATTATCTAAGCATTTTTGTCCTCTGTCGTAAAGGAAACATACACTGCACAGACTGCTCAAATATCCTATCCACTGGGCGATGGCAGTGTGTCGGCTCTGACAGTGTCTGACAGTGTCTGACAGCGTCTCTGACTGTCCTGTCCGGCAGAACGGGCCGCTGTCTGGCCACGGCCGCCGTCTGCGACGGAGTCGACGACTGCGGCGACGGTAGCGACGAGGACCGGTGCCAGTACACGACGTCCGCCGGCGGCCGCGCGCGACGCAGCACCTCCGAGGCCCCCAGGGTGGGCGGCGGCGGCGCCGACGATGACGACGTCACCACCTCTGCCGCCCCTGTCTTCAGCTCCCCCAGCACCGCCGGCTCCACCGGCAGCGCTGCTTCTGCCGCCACTGGTGCTCCCTCCGCGGGCACCGCTGGCTCCGGTGTGGCCTCCAGCACCAGCACTGCCTCGCCCACGGCAACTCTGAGAGCTGGTGCCAGTCAAACAGTCGTCACAGAGCCTCACGGGGAGGCGGGTGGTGGTGCTGGCGGCTCCCAGCCAGCCCCGGCGACTGATAAGCCGTCTGAAGAGACTGCTGGCTCCCTTCCTAACGAGCATAGTTCGCCGCTCCCCACCACAGCACCAGTCACCGGCGGATACGTGCCAGCTGCCGCGCCGGACGCAGAGGCCGCGGTGGCAGTGACGGAGAACTCTGAGGGGCAGGCTGGGGCGACTTCTGCTGGGGCGACCATGGCGCCATCTATGGCAGTCGCTCCTGTGACAAACAGAGCAGCGAGGAGCGAAGACGGGACAACCCCAGCAGATTCAGAAGCCGTCAAACCTAGGGCGACACATACCGCTAAACCAACAGAAGTCGTTAGTTCAGCAGCTGCCGCCCCAAACAAACCTGCCTTATCAACCACAACCACAAGCAAAAATGTCGAACCGGCGACATTAGAACCATCTACAGAAATGACAGCAGCACGAGATACTAAGCCTACGAGTACCACAACAGCCTCCTCTACAACCCTTGAAGATGTTGTAGATATTCAGAGTTCATATGCAACAACGGTTGTGAGTACCGGACAGGCAACTCAGACTACCTCTCCAAGTACTTCTGCCACTACATCAACAGCAATGGCTAGGAGCAAGAACATAACTACAACTGCTACTGCAACTACAACTACAGCTGCCACTACAGCTGCCACTACTACTACAACTACAACTACCACTACTACCACAACTACACGTACAACTACCACTACAAGTACCACTAGGGCGACCACTAGAGCGACCACTAGAACAACCACTACAACTACACCCACTACGACAACCACGACGACAGCTAAATCAACTACAACTATGAGAAAAGAGCCCACAACAACTACCACCACCACAACCACGACCACAACAACGACCAAACGACCCACAACAACAACTACCACCACCACGACCACGACCACAACAGCGACCAAACGACCAACAACAACCACCAAACATTTTGTCTTAAAAATTGCCTTTGGAAAGAGATAGCTCGTAGTCTGTCAGCGATAGTTATCCCAGCCGCTGCGCTGCTAGAAGGCGTTTATCCCAATGACAGTGGTCTGACGTATCCCGAACCTACCACACCATTGTCGCCGTTGCTTGGAGTCGCAGTTGGGACATGTGAGCTAGTCAGGGCCGAGAGTCAGCTAGTGAGACGTTGCCGGTGACTGACGTTTGATGAGGCGATCGGTCGCAGTGTGTCACGTGAGTGTAGTGGACACCCGATCGGACACCAACAGCCAACACGTGCTTTTGTGACGGAGATGCGGCGGTTTTAGCTGGCGATGTGAGCGCCCGGACACTGATAACCAAAGATGATGAACTGCGCCGGCCGGGCCGCGTGGCCTTTGGCTCCGCCGGCGGTCTGCACACTGTGTTTGCCTAGTCATATTCCCGTATTGTGCAGTGTGGAGTCTGCGAGGCGCGAAGTCCGGGCGCTGTCGGGGGGTCGGCTGACCGGCCGGGGGCCGGTACAGCTCAGACGGTCGACGGACCCTCAGCACTGGGCCCTGTTTTATGTGCGTCTAGTGTTGGTTGTGAGAGTTTGACCAGATTTGTGAATCCATTGTGTATATATGATATACCTATGACAAATATATACTATATTATTTATAAAATGCTTGTTTTCACATGGGCATTTGGAGACTAATGAGGACAGAAAACGTCAAGCAGCGAGGACCCGAGGTAGAACGACAAATTCTGGCATAGGTATGTGTCTTACACACGGCGTACCTACCCGGTACCATTTATCAAGATTCGAAGCAGTACTCGTACACACGGTTCACATTAAAACAATTGTGCAACCATTTTCTGCTTTAGGTTTGCCTACTCGACATAACCACGTTTTGCAGGTTGAATCGAAATTAGCCTTAAAATTGTTCATACCCAGCCAGTTCTGCTGCGAGCGATCATATGCTGCCTGTAGATAGACTGTACCGCAGCTTTGTGTGTAAGGCGGTACAGTCTACCAAGCTCAGCAACATAACACCAAAAAATGCAGTCACCAGACTCGCCCCTTTTGTATGGCTGGCAAACTGATCCCGATATTGGATAAACGATTGGTTTAGATTAAAAGATAAGGAAGACGTATTGCGCTTTGAACTCGTTGTAGAAAATGTTTCCCATTCTTGTTGAGCCCGTTACCCCATGCTTGATGAGTCTCATTGTTAGTCGATCGAAGTCAAGCCAGTTCGGTCGACCAAACTCGTTTGTGTTTTCTCGTTCAATTAGGCAACGACAATCATGACAGCGACATTTGATATATTTCAAGGTGCAAATACCCATAACAACGAACAGTATTTCGCCCGACATGGACGCTATCCACATCCGTGCGATCATCCATCAATAAGTGCCCAGTTGGTAACGATGCCCGTTTCTCGAAATTACAACCACACACCACTTTTTTGGCAGTGGCCTTAGATTTGCTTCACACACGGGCCTATACAGAAAAGGCCAGATACACAGACGCCTGCACAGACCATATGCACGCATATAGGATTTTACCATCGGTAAAGGTAATCGCATAACAGGACAACTCCGTTGAGGGCAGTTTTTTACCTATACAAAATGTTTTCGTTTTGTACATGCGTCGAAAATCTAACTACTTAACAATCTAAGCACGATTAATTGACCGTCTATTAACCATGACTTTAAAGTTCAGCCCCGTCAAATTTTGATCAGTGATAGAAGTTTGTATTGACGTACGATATCTCATACTCCTCGTAGAAAGAGCGCTTCATGCCGTGCGGCACCTTGGGCTCACCGCGCCCCTTGGACGAGAAGATGCGGAACCCATCGCAGTCCAGCATACGCAGCAGCTCGTAATACTTCACCAGCTCCTTCATCAGGTTCTGGGGCGTCTGCGAGTTGGCAGGCCGCTGGAAATTGAGCGTGACCACCAGCTGCTTCACCTGATCCATGACTTCCGAGCGCAGGAACTCCTCGAGCGCCTCCCACTCGTGGTCGCGCACGTCGAGCTTCAGCACGTCGATGGTGCGGTGTGTGTGACCTGAGATGGGCCACAGGCGTGTCAGGTCACACAGGCAATGGCGTCAGACGGGGTCAGGTCGCAAAATAAGCTGGGTAGTCGTGCCGATCCATCTCATATCGGTCCATGAGCCACGTGCCGCTCATGTGGATTGTAATAGAGGGTTACGACTTATAAGATATAGTGGCCGAAATTATCGAAATAAGTCAGCTCAAGTGAATTAACTTCTACATATTAATACATTCAGTATAATCGATGGGACGTGTTGCTCTGTTTCAAAACGGACAGCAAAGCAAAAGTACCCCAAAATTATGCAGGCTAGTTGTGGCTACATTTCGACTGAAAACCAGATCGAGTATCTGGCGAGGTTCGGTAAATGCTAACAATGCAGGGCAAAAACCGATAAGTCCCAAAAATGTAGCAGTAGAAGTCATTGTCTCAGTGTGTCGGTCGTAATGAGGATTTGATGCGGCTCTTACCCAGATTCTCGACCACCTGGTGCAGGTTGCGCGACTTGCGGTACGTCTGACCCTCCAAGAAGGCGTCGTAAGAGTTGACGCCGATGCGGACGTTCTGGAACCAGATCCTGCTGGAGCGCTGGTGGTCCTGCACGTTTTCAGGTGTGTCGAACGCGTACACTTCGCAGCCCAGCCTCTCCATGTCCTCCTCAAACGTGAACTCGGGGTCGACGCCGATCGAGTAGGACAGACAGCTGCCCGGCTGAATCTTCAACCTGAAACCGTAGTATCACGAGTCAATTCACTAAGCTGTACCAATAATACAGCCTTGAAGCATGTTTGGAGAAGAATTAGATCAAAATAGCAATAATGTTGTAAACAACATGAAGCGTAAATAAGTGAGATGTAAGGAAAACGATATTTTAGGATGGAGATAGAGAAAGGGAGGGAGAGAGAGAGAGAGAGAGAGAGAGAGAGAGAGAGAGAGAGAGAGAGAGAGAGAGAGAGAGAGAGAGAGAGAGAGAGAGAGAGAGAGAGAGGGAAATGAATATTTATTAATATATGTTATTTTTATCGATACATTTTATTTAAAATAATTTATCTTTACCGTTCTTCTTTATGAGCCACGATGTTCATTTCGTAAACTAGGTCAAGGTCAAGGTCAAGGCTTGGGTCATGTCAGGTCAACAAAGGTCACCATACATGGACCGGCTGCAACAGTAAACAATGTGAGAGCTTCAAGCTTACCATGTGTGATTCGAAGCATCGAGCTTTATATATATGTATAATAGGGTTATTTATTCGCCGGCATAAATACAGCTCAATTAAAGGCACAAATTCACACATAATATAATGTAAAAAAGTAAGCGTGAGCCAATTTGGTAAAATGAGACGTACAGCTGGATTCGGATACAAATTTTTTGTATCACCGTCACAAAATATAGTTGTGCAAAGTTTAATGCCATAGATAACATGAATCATGATTCATAGATAACATGCTTCATGTTATCTATGATCTAAGCATCAAACAACAACAAAGCATGAAATCATTCCAAAAAAAGCATAACATACAAGTATACGCAATAAAGCCGGTCGTGCCGGATTGGATAGTCTCACCTTTTGTCGAGGCAGATCCATTGGAAGTGCGCCTCCGACTTATTACACCGAATCGCCGTCCCAAAGTCGTCGTTAATCACCTCGGCGTTGGACGTTTTGCCAATCTGGATCTGGCTGCGGCAGTCGGCCGTCACCGTCTCGATGTCGTCGAAGAACTCCTCCGGGCGCCGGATGGCGGGCACGTGACAGATCTCGTTGCCCTCCTCGTCGAGCGCGGTGGCCCGCTGGCGCACCTCGGCTGGGCTGCGGCGGCCATCGTAGACGAACAGCAGGAAGATGATGCACGCGCCACAGAAGACAGCCGTCGACAACGACAGCACGGCGCCGCGCTGGTCGGACCGACGGGCGTCCGTCTTCTTGGAGCGGCCGTAGTCGTCGGTGCTGACGAACATGGTGGCGTCGGCACTGGTCTGCGGCGCGGCGGCGGCGGCGCGGTGGCGGCGCGAGAGGAGAGGAGAGGAGAGTCCGCAGAGGTCAGCGACCCGAGAGCGGCGCCAGCCTCCCGGCGCCCGCGGCGAGCCACGTCCTCGGTCGGCTGGCCGCAGAGCAGCGGGCCTCACAGCGCGGGACAGAGTGGTCAGAGAGACGGGGGAGAGTGGCGGGGGATGGGAGAGGGGACGGGTGGGAAGTGAGAGAGAGAGAGAGAGAGAGAGAGAGAGAGAGAGAGAGAGAGAGAGAGAGAGAGAGAGAGAGAGAGAGAGAGAGAGAGAGAGACAAGAGAGAGAGAGAGAGAGTAGCAGAGGAATGGGAGTGAGGCAAACTGATCTACATAGATATAGACGTGGTTAGCGGGATCGGGGAGAACGAACTATGTAGACAGAGGGCGGGCGGAGTCAGCTAGAGGACTGGATGTGCCTTTTTGGAAGATGAACGATATGCTTAGTGGGAGGCCCATGGGTCAGGGAAACAGTGAGCGAGACGGTTGTCGCAATGTGGAACGGACGGACCTGGATTAAACCACATGCACGCCCAAATCCGGACCGAATTGATAAATGCAACGCTAGAAAATTTGCGTCAGTAAAGTTATGCAGATGCATAAAATTGTGCATTCCTTCTGTGTTCAAAAGACATTCTCATTGTTTTTCGCAACTGAGCTGGATATTACTGCGTAAAAAATGCATGCGTGTCTATTGATGAGTCATGAGTCATCATTTACTGTGACGCTCAAAAAGTCTACTTAGATGCATATGTAATAGTGATGCATTAGATGTATTTTCCACTGGCAATGTGTACAGCTGAGGTACGCAGAGGTACGCAGTGGTGCGGTGTATAATAATTCAGCCCAGATACGTCGTTTTTGTTGCACCGTGCGCTGGTCATAGGTGCAGCAGCCTGACATTGGAGACTAGAGTCAGCGAACCCTCCCCACTCCCCCAGCCCCACGGCTGGTCATTCTGCAACACTGCAGCGGTGAGCCGAGGGGCGGCGGGGCGTGAGTCGCCACCACGGCCCCGACCAGCCAGCCCCGCGCTCGTGAAACTCCGGTTGTATTTGCCAAAAATCAGTGGACAATTAAGGCAGCTAGCACGCAGAGTGGTAGTGGTGACAGAGTGGTTTTTAGTTTGATGGTGAGGTGGTGTTACGCGTCCGAATATAAAAGCTATCATCGCGAAAGAGAGATGGGTGAGTCGCTGCATGCCTTTGTGGTAGCTAAACCGATGTGAAAGACGTGTAGCGAGATTGATCTTGTGACGATTGACAACATGTTTGACGAACCAGTTTAGGCCCTTTTTCATTAACCTCTTGTTTATGGTTTGCTGAATATCCCTCAGACAGCTTAATTTTGTGGTGTAGGACCAGTTAATACCTACGTTGCTTAAATTATTCGGACATAACTAGAGTAGATTGTTATAAGATTCTGTAAAATATCGGTGGTTTCCCTCTCTGTCACATCATAACAACAGAACGCCAAAATAGCTCGATGATATGATAATTCTCAGCTGTTTACCGTCTTTTCTCTCGTTTTAAAGTGAACAATGTTGGCGTTTCTTTTATTTTGCTTGTGCATTATATTCTAATAAAATTAGCGTGGTCGCCGAAGACGCACGCTCGTTGACGCTTCTTATCCGCGATCCGCCTATCTAGCTGTCTATCATACGTCTTTTTTCCACCATGAAGACTTTTTCTCTACCCAAAGTCTCTTCACCCTTATAAACACACACACACACACTCCATGTTCCGATCTAAAAGCCGTTCAAAAAAGGCAACTGGTATATGTATATGACACGGTCCATCGGGCCGTAACATATATAATATACCGATATTATCCATTCCGAGGATTTTTGTGGTGAGAGATTATAAGAATGCCTGCCGACTATGGTCTGTAACGGCAAAAACGACTAGTTATGCGCCGAGCCCGTTTCCACCCATTGTTGGACTTAGGCTTTGCACCTGCATTGCTCAGCTTAGTCACATGTTTTTCGGAGTTAGTTTCCAATGCTGCATCAAACCTAACGAATATAATCGGGCATCAGTATTTGTTAATCATTGATTACAAATTATGATCCAATTTGTAACTGCCTAATCGGTTTGTCCATTTACAGATATTAGAAGATCAGCCGTTTGGCTACTGCTGCTGCTGCTGGCTGTTCCTGTCGAAGTTTCTCCTCCATTTCGGGAGTCCAATCCCGACTCAGACGGTTAGTACCCATATACCTACATGATGACCCAGCGCGGCGGCGCATATGACATCCATCCAACAAGCTCAAATGGGCTTGAAGGAGCAGGTATTGTGCAGTACTCACGTTTCCTGGCAGGATCAGTGAGACATGACCTCTTGAGAGAATTGCTAAAGTTGCAGCTAAGAGGACAATAATGTTACGTTTCTTCAATGTGTACCGTCACGAATAATTATCATCGCATGCATAAACGTCATGTTTCAGGAGCCGCCAACACCCTTACCGAAGCTGACCTCAGCACTGACGGCCTGCCAGCCGACAGTGGCCTCTTCATAGAGGTGGTCTCCAGTCCCAGCTCGTGCATGGTCAAGGCCAACGGAAGAATGGTAAGTTGAGAAGAAAGTTCAAATGGTAGCAGCTATATTAACCCTCGCGGGCCCTGGGGTGGTCGTTTTTCGCGCCCTGGCGAATACTGCCAATGGCCGTTTTCACGACGGGTTATCCGGCGAGTGCACCTAATTTGACCAAATCTGCACCTAATCTCTTTTACAGCAAATAACTTTATTTTTTGAATTTATTTCAGTGTTTTTATCGATGGTACTCTCTGATAATATGACAAAGCAGGCATATAAGCAATTAGTGCAACCCTAGCTGATGGCTACTAAGAGACACACTGAACCTGATTTAACCCGCGCGGGGCTGGGGTCTCCAGCCGAACGCGCGGGGCTGGGGGGGGGGGGGGTAAATTTTACCCCCCTGTTATCTCCCAAACTAATGGTCCGATTGGGAAAATTCAAACGCCAATCGAAAGCTCTCATCACGAACTACTAAAAACATGTACTTAATTTAAAGTTTGAGGTCAAGGTCAAGGTCAGGTCAAGGGTACAAATTGCAAGTTTCTACAGTATCGGCCTTGCACCGTAGTTGCCGAAGAATGGAGTCATGGACTGAGACTGATCGCCCAAAACGTGTTCTTAGGCTACCAAGACAATATTCGTTGCATACAATATCATTCAGAGGTCAAGGTCAAGGTCAGGTCAGGTCAGGTCAGGTCACCAAAAAACAAAATATAGAAAAGGGCATGTGCGACACATGTTTTATGGGTCATTTTACTCATAGAATTCAATAGGCACACTCAATAAGTGATATGGACCACCTCTGGATGAATTTCAGGTCGAGGTCAGGTCAAGGTCAGGTCAAGTGAGGTCAAATTTTGAAGTTGGTTGTTAAGGCCTAAAAAGGTGTCTATCTGATGCAGTTTTTCACGGCGAATCGAATGGTGCTATTTTTGTTTCCGTACGAGGTCTAAAACTTCCAAAAAAGTCATTTTTCAAAAATTTTGTGTGTCGTGACGTCATAAAATTTTGAATAACTCCCACATTTTGAACCGATTCTTCTAAAATTTGGTATGTAGGTGCACATAGACCACTTCTCTGACATATATTCCGGTTTTTTCGATAGACTCAAAATTTTGGATTTTATAATGATTTTCCCAAAAAAATCAGTTTTTTGAAAAAATTTAGGCCAAAATCCAAAATTTTCAAAAAACCGAGATAGCCATTTGATAGACAAAGTAAAATTACGTATAACCTTTTTTGTTACGTCTTGATTCCTTTAAAAATGAAGATGTTAGCGGCGTTTGAACTTTTGCCGTTTTTGAGGCGAAAATGGCGAACATGACGTCACTAAAACGTCAATTTCTCAAAAATTTTCCGACGGATTTCGCTCAAATTTTCAGGGAACGTGTCAAATTGATGTAAGAAATGGTACTGAAAGTTTGGCGGCGCTGCGCGCCGCCGTTTTTGAGATATCGCAAAAATTCGCGAGGGGGGGTAAAATTTACCCCCCCCCCAGCCCCGCGCGGGTTAACCAAATCTGACCTAATTTGCACCAAATGTGCACCAGATGTGTACCATATGGCCGTCGTGAAAACGGCTAAAAACTTCCGAACGCTTAGGGTAGGAAAGAGAAACTTTCAACACCTTTTTCCCATCAATTTGACATCTTCTGAAGCTAGGATTTGTTACCAACCCCTTTGATGACGTCATAGGATCGATTTTTTTTCTAGACCCATGAACGATAAACTTCGGCGTCACAGACGCGAACGGCAAATAGCTGCTAAAAACTAGAATGCTAGAGATAAACACAAATTACGAGTGCGTATGTAGCATTTGACCTAGGGAAAAATATGAAAATAGTTTTGGTGGCCTGAGGTCAGAGGTCAAGTCAACGACTCTGGGCTGAGGCTTTAGTTTTTCGCAAATAACTTCAATAAAAATTATCCTAGAGCTAAGGCAGTGGTACCAACGTATTCGTGTTGTAAAGACGCTGTGAATGACATACATTTTTTTGGAAAAGGTCAAGTTATAAGTTGACCCCATTTGACCTCAAATGACCTTTGGTTGACACATGAAAGGTGGTATACGATGGATTCGTATCCGCTGATAACGAATCTGGCATCCATTTTGCTCTAAGCGTTCATTTAGAGCCTCAGGACGGACAAATTGTCTTAATAATTATGACTGACTTAAAGGGACCCTCCCACCTTCAAAAAAGTTTATGAATTGGCATGAAAGTGATGTCGCTTGGTTCAGAAAGAGCAAAACGAATATCTACCAAATTTCACCGAAAAATATTCACCGGTTTTCAAGATATTAGACTTTTACTTTTGTTTACTTTTTTGGAAACTCCGCTGTTTCTAGCGACTTTATTTTAGAAGTGCGGCGTTTGCGGCAGATGCTGCGCGCAAATAGCATATACCACCGCGTGCTACAAAACGTTTTAGTCAAACATTTAAAAATCGTTAGATATTTGCGCTGACGTCACACATTCAGAGGGGTATTCCTAAGCATTAGCCCCTCTGAATCAAAATGCTGCAATTTTGAAATTCAATATTTCCGATTTAAGGCATTTCTCGATGTTGTGAGTGCCGAAACCGGTAATTGTGAGCCAGGGACCCCATTTTGGCTATCTCAACTCAAATCTAATGTTAAGGTGGGAGGGTCCCTTTAAATAGGTGAAATGGCCTATGGCAAGGATACTCTTCCATGACCTCGACCTTGGAGTATCTTTGTATAGTAAGATGAACCACAACTAGGTGCCTGATAAGCCTCAACACATTTAAACACATCTTGGAATTTAGTATGCAAGATGTATGAAAACGCGCAAAGTTTGAAGTCATTTTGAGCATGACTTTTATCTTGACCTTGAATATTGAGCAAATTATCGGAAACCTCAGACTCTCGTCTTTCCTTTTAATTCAACCCCATTTTATCCGCTTTTCCTGCCATGCTGCCGTCCTCTGGAACACTTTCTTGAGATCGCTACAAAACTACCGGTTTTTGCCTTTGACCTTGATCTTGAAATTTGACCTGAGGTCAAAAGTGTTAGGTGCTTTAGAATTGTATCGGTAAGACCTTTCGTTTGTTATAGCTTTCGTTTCCGTAGCTCCCTTATTTTAGGAGTTAGACGAGGGCGAAAAACGCCCCCCCCCCCCCTCCTGGGTTGCGGTGGTTGGGGTTATCCCCGGGCCCGGCCGGGTTAGTCAAGCTCAGTGTAAACTGTAAAAGAAGAAAAAAATGTATGCGATCACAAGAGGAAGGCAATTAAGTGTGAATGCAATATGTTTATCCTGGTGTTACTATAATGAAATTATTCCCCGTTCATCACATTCGACCAAACTCTCCGAGCATGGTGTTTCAGGTGCTTTACCGCGAGAAGCTGGACGGCGCGCCGCCCAGTCTCCCGCTGACATTCTTCCACGAGGACCACAGCACAGACGGCATGTACGTGGTGACGCTGCACCCGGTCACGGGCCGCGCCACCGGCCACGTGTTCGCGGACGGCCACAGCGCCGACGGCGCCTTCCACGGCGTACAGGAGTTCGTGCAGCACGTGCAGCCCGGACGGGTGGTCGTCTTCTGCGTTCTGGTAAGCCGATCGGGTGCGACGGCTCGGGTTCGGAACTACCAGACGGCTGGGGACGTAAGACCGTAAAAATCGTCTGGGCCATGAGTTGTATTTTAAGAGTTGTTTTGTAATTGGCTTGGCCTTAAATATTGGGGATCAATTATTTTTAGAAGTGGCAGCATCCGCATTTAGGGAGGCTACTTTTTTGCGACTCAGAAAAGGTGCACAATAGCCGTTTTCACGACGGCCATCTGGTACACATTTGGTGCACATCTGGTTCAGATTAGGTGCAGATTTGGTCGAATTAGGTGCACTCGTCGGATAGCCCGTCGTGAAAACGGCTGCTATATTTATTGCTTTCCAAGACAGTGCAAATGAAAATGCAATGCATATATGTGCCGGTCATAGTGTTCTAGGTGGAGTTCATAAGTATTTCTCATGAAGCACTAGCCACTAGTCAGCTAGTTATGGCACCCATGGAAACTTTTCTGACCACACTACAACTGACCGGCGACCTGTCACCTCTGCGCAGGCCGAGTCGGCTCTGTCGATGGACTCCATTGGCGAGTCGCTGTTCACGGCACTCAACTCGAGCTTTGCTCCCGACATCCAGCTGCGCTCCATGTTTGCGCTGGTGGCCGTCAAAGGTGGCCCGGTGGTGGCCGAGGGCTACAACCTGAATCTGGACGCGCTGGACGCGCTCCACCCGGGCTACACGCTCCGGCTGACCACCACCGTACCGCATACCACCGGTCAGTGTCGGTCATAACGCAGATTATTATTTTAGGAGCGGGACATTTTCAAACGTGTGTATCTGTGATAAATATCCACGCATGCTTACGCCTTGTAACCATGCTAAACCGTAGTGGAATGCTGGATCACGGCAGAATGTTGAACCGGGATAAAGTATTTGACCGGAGGGCATGCAACGGAATGTGCTCCGTAACACGTTGCAATAATGCTAAAATTAATTAATAGCCAGATGCTATGTCAGCTGTGTAGAAACTGGGTATGTACACTCGAAGGCATTAGCAGTTTACCTTCTGTTGTTTTGTTTCAGAGACGGTATGCAAGGAGCTAAAGAAACCCGAGAACAAAGAGCGGCTGGAATTTTGCCAAAAATACGACGGCTATCGGCGCCTCTGCGACTGCGGCAGCCCCATTCCGATACACTACCCTCCCAAACCGGTAAAGTGCAGTCCACAGCAGAAGTAATGTGCGGTTTCAGTCATGGGTATGTTCTGCTTCTGAAGCTTAGGAACGATTAGCCAGACCACAATGAAACTTTGAATGTAGCTTACATGCAACGTCACCCTTGCAGCTGCAACTTTGTCTATTGACGTCTTCTTTTCGATCACTCCGCATTAACAAATCGCCAGTCAAAGCCACCTGTTGAGATTGGTAGAAGTAGAACCGCACATTACTTAAGCGGTGGGCTGAACATATGCACAACTTGTCACCTGCTTATCGCCGAGGTCACGCAAATTTGAGACTTAGCCAGGTCATTATTACTTGGCCACAATAATTGACCGAACTCCAATAAAATCTTCGAGGGATAATGCGATTGCAGCACCGCATTACTGTGCGGCGGGGAAGCCTTAATTAATCATTTGTGACCTAACTTTATCCCGCGCCCCGCTGGGCTATTCAGCCATACGCGCCCTGCTGGGGGGGGGGGGGGGGCAGATTCTGCCCCCCCTGTCTAACTTCCGAAGTCCGAACCGATGATCGTAGAAAGACGGGGAAAACGGCAATCGAAAGCTCTCGACAAGACGGATCTAAAGAGCCTTTTTTGCATAAGTAGGTCAGAGGTCAGGTCAAGGTCAGGTCAAGGGTAAAAAATGCGAGTTTCTATAGTATCGGCCTTGCACCGTAGTTGCCGAAGAATGGACTGAGACTGATTGCCCAAAACATGTTCTTAGGCTACCAAGACAATATTCGTTGCATACAATATCATTCAAAGGTCAAGGTCAGGTCAGGTCAGGTCACCAAAAACAAAATATTGAAAAGGGCATGTGCGACACATGTTTTATGGGTCATTTTATTCATATAATTTAATAGGTACACTCAATAAGTGATACGGACCACATTTGGATGAATTTCAGGTCGAGGTCAGGTCAAGGTAAGGTCAAGTTCGGTCAAATTTTGAAGTTGGTTGTTAAGGCCTAAACAGGTGTCTAACTGATGCAATTGTACACGGCGAATCGAATGGTGCTATTTTTGTTTCCGTACGAGTTCTAAAACTTAAAAATCATTTTTTTTTTTTCAAAAAAACTGTGTGTCGTGACGTCATAAAAGTTTGAATAACTCCCACATATTTGAACGGATTCTTCTAAAAATTGGTATGTAGGTACACATAGACCACTTCTCTGACATATATTCCGTTTTTTATACACTAAAAATTTTGGATTTTATAATTACAAAAAAGTCAGTTAAAAAAAGTTGGGCCAAAATTGACGTCGCTGGCGTAACGCGTTTAGAAGTCATTGGCGAAAAACGGGAGGGGGGCAGATGTATTTTCCCAAAAAAGTCAGTTAAAAAAAGTTGGGCCAAAACTGACGTCGCTGGCGTAACGCGTTTAGAAGTCATTGGCGAAAAAACGGGAGGGGGGCAGATTCTGCCCCTCCCCCAGCGGGGCGCGGGTTAACCTGAAGCGCACCAAGTATGAGCTCGGTACCCACAGGACATCTTCCGTAGGTATACATTTATCAGTTTGTAAACAAAATGAGCTTGCTGTGACTTATCAGGCGGCCACCAGAGCCTGAAGTGTGATCATACCTAAATATTGATAGTTGTCATTTTTAATTTGTGACCTTACCCTCTAGTTAAAACAAGTTAAATCCAAACACTTGTTTATTAATAATTTCGAGCACAGCTCGTCATCAGAATACAAAGCTAAAAATGTTACGATAAAAAATCGTGACATTTTTATCTTTGTATTCTGATGAAGAGCTATGCTCGAAATTATTAATAAACAAGTGTTTGGATTTAACTTTTCTTTTAAAACTACGAGGGTAAGGTCACTATAGTGACCTTACCTTCAGTGTCACTATAGTGCTAGTCACTATAGTGCTTGTGCGAGGATCATATTAGAGCATTTTTACTTAGAATTAAAAATGCTCTAATATGATCCTCGCACAAGCACTGAAAAACCTAAAAAATATTGATAATTGTCATTTTGAACTGAGCTGTGACGTCTTCGGCGACCTCAGGTTAGGGTTTGTTCGACAGTTTTCCAGGGCTATCCAACGTCGTTTAAATTCTATTTCGACAATCAGAATAGTACTTTCGGAGATAGGGGAGGGGGGGGGGGGGGGGGCTCGCAGTCACTCGCGTTAGGGAATATACCCAGTGATGCGCGGTTAAAAAATGTTCTTTTCAGTTTGATGGAGGAAGATTTTCAAGTTCCCAGTCATTATCATGGCAGTAACCGTCCCACAATTTATCAGGGAGCTTCTCTCTTCCCTTCTCTCTCTTTCTGTTCTTCTAACTCTCAGATTATTTTTTCTGTTTTCTCTAACACCTTTCCGTCCTGACGTAACTTGTTATCTCCTTGTCTTTGATAAGAAAAA